AATAGGCATAGATTTAATACATGCCCAAAAAATAACTGAAGTTCAACAATTACATCAAGCGAGTCAGTGCTTGAGGAAGAATCCAAACTATTCATGATCAAAGAAATATACTGTGAACAACATTTTCAAAATATCTCCAGTTTGCTTTTTTTTTATATTAAACAAAAGTCTACTGACAGCAATAAAAGAAGCAGCCAGAAACAGATAAGTCGAATTCAATCATTGCATGGTCTGACAATGATTCACAGTCCGAGAGACACCAGAGGGTAACATTCGCTAGCAAATCAGCTCCCATAATTGTGACATCTATGTAGCTTTATCCCTGTTCGAGCAAAACGTAGGGCCGCAGTCCTCATTGATCGCATATAAATTATAGGGAGCTGATAAAATCTCCAAGCTTGTTTCCTCGAGCATCACTATAAGAGCTAAACCACAGTTCAAACTTACTATTGGAATCCATACCCGAAATAAGCTTTGTAAGATCCTTAGCTTGGAAGACCCGACTTATTTTCTATAAATCAGAGTCAACATCAGGAAGGCTCAAAGTCGTATGAAAATAAAAATATATTTTGTATCTTTATAAATAATGTCAATAATCACCCTATTTATAATCCAGAAACACAGTCAGAAACCCGGCTCGAACAGCAATAGCAGCCTTTATGTATGACTTCAGAATTAAAATCATAATACAACCTACAGGAACTCGGAAAGCCAGGCACAAGACCATGATAAGAATAAGACTCAATTTTATCACTGACATTACAAAAAATATCTTTTTTACTCCTTGATTACGTAAAATCTTTCTTGTGTATTCTCTCGTAAAATAGTTTATAGGTGCATTCATTGCTAAGCACTAACTCTGCGTTGTTTTCTATCATTAAATTTTCTCAAGAAATAATAAAGAGCTAGTTAAGATAGTTGGAATAATAAAGGGCTAGTTTACCCTTCTATCTTGTTGTTTCCTGTCACACGAACTCAAGCGAATATTCGCTTATCAGTTCTTAAGATTCTTCACTTCCAACAGTAACTTAGAATTACAAAGTGAGGAACTCTACACAGTAGGGTGCCACTTTGTTATCCGCATAAAGAATCACATAATCATATTTATACTCGATATGGTATTTATTGCTTGTAAAAGAAATTCATTGTAGAGGGAGTTTCTAAACTTTCTCCATCATACAAGTTATAAATTAGTATTAATTAGCTGAGAAACCATGACAAATCGTCGATTCAAGTCCACTCCATCAGAGTAAAATTAACATTGCAGTAAGACGTCTAACATTTTCAGAGTATTCATAAATTACACACCGAATAATAAGGTCAAACTAGCTTTACTTCAAAAACTATGTCAGGGAAAAAATTGCCAGTATATTCCATTGATTCAAACAATTTTCATCGCACATTTTTTTTCGTATCAGTAAGTCTTATCAATGTTAACACGATCTTAAACAGATACCACAAGTGTCCATCCGGGATTAAATGCTATCATTTGGTTAACAGCGGGTACCTGGCTTGTTTTTCCCCTTCTTCCCATTTCGTTTTAACTATTTTAATGTCAGAAGGAATAAATGGCTTTCCACAAATCGGAACCAATACAGCGATTTTCTTGTTTGGGAAACTGACGTGTTATGATTAAGGAGCTTTGGCATCAGTCAAAAAGAGTTCATAAAGCGTGATGTGAATTCATTGTTAGATGTAAAAGTCTGAGAGCTGTCTTAAGAAAAACTTTGAGAAATATTGCCCTTCAATTTTTAGTGCCAAAGAACTAATATGGATTGTGAAACCATTTGGAATTTATTTGGAAAATATTACTCATTTGCCATTAAAATCACAAGAAGAACTTGCCAAGTGATCAAATGATTCCAGGTTGAAAATTAATTTTAATACGAAGTCCTTAGAAGATTTTTGGCTATTAGGAGTCGCAAAAGAATTTCCAACGATTTCTAAAAGTGCCATAAACTTTCTTTAACTGTTTTCTACGAAATATTTGTGTGAGACGACATTCTTGTCTTTAACCAACATAAAATCAAAGTGTCGATCAAATGTAAAGAATATTGATGAAGAGCTTCGTCCTGTGGTGCTGACTGTTTTGCCGAGATTTCATAATATAATTTTAAAAATAAATAGACACACCTTTCCCATTGATATTTAATCCTCGCATATGCGCTGTTAGGAGAAAATGAATTTTCTCAGTAGTAACCTTCCAAGTGGCTACATTTAATGGATAGTTTTTAGTTAAGACTACTATAGTTAATGTTTGAATTTACCTAAGTAATTGAATTTGTTTTTATTATTGTAATACATTTCAAATTTTGCTACTTATTTAAAATTTTCACATTGTTCTATGCCTTAAAATTAAAAATTAAAGTTAATGACCTAAAACTGCAATATATCACAGCAGGTGAAGAAACTCACAGTTTCACTCACGCTTGTGTCGAATTTGTGCAATACTTATGGGTCCCACAAAATGTTTTAAAATATCGTGGGGTCCACACACCAAAACGTTAAAGAAACCCTGGTATAAACCAAGACCTAGGCATCAAGATTGTAATTAAAAGTACTACAATTAGTCGATTTAATTTTGACTGAAAGTGACATAATAAAAAAGAAAAATGTTGTATTCTAAATTATCTTATTATTGTAATTGTATACGAATCATATTTTCTAACTAAGCAATCAAATCTAATATTTTTATAACTAACCTTGCTCTTTCTGGAATGCAGCTGATATATTGTTTCTGTCCTTAGAACAGCATATCATCTATTATATTATAACTTGGCTTGTTTTTCTAAAGGTTATGAAATGAAACCATTTTCAAAGATTTTATTTAATCCATTGCCACCCATATGCTTTTATTATTACTCGTTTATAGGACACAAATTACTCGTAATTCAGATGAGATAGGTGAGTTAAGTAATGTAATGAATTTTTTTTTATATCCTGATATCAATAAACTATCATTTTTTATTTTTTCAATTTTAAAGAGTTTTCTAAACCCCTAGCTTCATTTTTTTTTTTTTTTTTTTTTTTTTTTTTTTTTTTTTTTTGCCCTGATTTAATTTTCATTTCCTTTTGTGATACCATTGAAACAGCATACGATACTACATTTATTTTAAAATTACTGTATGTGGCCATAGTACCTCCAAAATATTTTCTTTCAATATAGCATCACGGTTCAGGTTAAATCAATAAACGTTTCCCAATATTTTTCAGAATTTAATAATTGTTAATATTTCCTAAAAAAGCATTTTCGTTACATATTTTCTAACAAAACTTCATAATTTCTAGCGCATTTTAACGAATTCATGATTTTAAAACTAGACATTTTGTGGCATTTCAAACAAATTATCGTATAGCTCTGAGAGGCTTAAATTTTCTGATTTTCCCTGATTTTTCTATTTTTCTTTAATTTATTTGCACTTAAGAATACTGTGAAACTTGTGAAATATATTTTACATCTATTTTAGAATTCAACATATTTTAAATTGTTGTATTTCTTCCATTTAACAAAATTAACTCTAGCCTTAGTTTATTGAAGTTTTTTGTTGTAAGCAACATCTTTAATATCACTCACAGCTATTTTCTAAAAAATATGAATGGTTTTTTTTTTTTCATCTCTTTTTCATATGAATATTGTGCATTGTAAAAATTAACATAATCTGAAAAATAATCTCTTAAGATATTTCTCTGATCTATAATATATTGGGCCTTACCGACATAGATCTTAAGAGAATATCGAATGTATTCATGTATCTATCACATGTAGATTTTCACAGTTTCTTGCGCATGATGTCATACATATTTGACTTAAAAAAAACTTAACTATTGGCACAGTGTGAAATTTTTGAAAAGTGCAGATATGAGATTATCGGCTTCTTTCAACATTAACTTCTAATGTTCTCGAACAGACACGTAAGCATGTCATCTTTTTGAGTGACTGGATTTTTTTTTTTTTAAAAGTAGTTTCCGCTCACTTCACATAATGTATGCTTCACAGAGACCTCATTAAATCCAACCGTTCATTCTCAGAAACTTTGTACATAATTATTAAATTTTCTAGAGAGCACGATTTTTTTCATTTTTCTAATAAAGCATAAACAACGTCTTGTTTCACATCAAAAGACGTGATTACGTGCTTTATTTCTTTAATTATTACCACAGATATGTATTTTCAATAATAATTTTCATGAAACAGAATTTTTAAGAAATTTCATGTTCAAAGAAAGCAGTTTCAATTCTCGATAGGGGCTTTGAAATCTGGCTACAGTTTAAAAATAAAATGGGCCTTTATATTCTGTAATGTCTTAAATTCAAATTAATGGAGTGAAATAATAATATATGCCTGTAACCTCGAAAATTTGTACTTGAAACAGAGAAATGATTTCATTTGTGAAAACATCATTAATTTTTTAAACCGGAATTTATTTAATCTGGAGATAAAATATAAATGTAAATATTATTTTCCTTAATCATTTCATCCATGCTGTTTAAATTATTATCATGAAGTTCATAACCTTACTTTGAGGAATATGTGACTCAAAATACATAGGATCACTATATTTAGAGAACTAAAGTTTATAACTACTTTCTCTGAACATCTGTACGACTTCTAAAATTTCTTAATTCTAAATAAGATTACGATTTATAAAAATGCATTATAGTTCTGGCTTTTCGCATCATCTCTTTTGAAGCTTCTTACATCACTGCTTCTTTCTAAGCAGCCGACCTTGCGTAGTATCCGCATTCAAGATAAAGTAAATGAAGAGTTATAAATTTTAACCCTAGCGAAATATAACCAAGCTTGTCTAGATTCCGTATAAGTCTGAAGTCATAAAAATCTTTTTCGTTCATATTTCTTGCACCACAAATAACAATTGTTAAAAGATAACTCGCATTTCCACTTCAAAATCAAGCATTATTTGATTTGAGCACCTTGCTCAATGCTTTGGGATATTGCTTACGTGTTTTGCAGAGATTATGGCTTAGAGATAATTCTAGAAAATCCGGATGTAAAATGGTATTTAAGTAACAAACCTCCTATCGATGCTTCACATGCAAATATAGAAAAACATCTTTTGCACTCGAGCAAAGAACCTTTAGTAGTCCAAAAATGAAAGCTATTATTCTTTCTGTGTTCTTCTCTTGTGGTCTTGCGGTAAGTGAAATTTGAGTCCTAAATCTATTGTTTCTGTAGCAGAAATATTTCACTTGTATTTTTCTCTTGCAATGACTTTTGATTCGCTTCAAACTAAATAGCTTTAATTAAATTCCAAAAATATGTATCGGATTAAATTTTTAATTTCATATCTCTGTTTTCTTAATTTTTAGCAACTGCTTAAGCATTTCTTTTTTAAAAGAGGATCATATGTATTGCATTCATTTAAACTTACAATTTATTTATGAAACTTTTTCTTCAAGTCGTAGAGCACGCTTTCTTATTTAAAGTGCCTTTGCGCTGGCATCATTTTCTTTGCATGGATTATTGTCCGCAAGTGATAATTTGACTGTTAGTTGATGCTACTTTCTAAAATGCCGAAATGGCATTAAAGTCTACTTCCAGAAATGCACTAGAAGGGATAATTTATACATCAAAAATGTATTTAGATTGCAATATAGATTGTTGTGGATATAGTTTAATCCCTAGAATGGATAATTTCTTCACTAGAATGGATAATTTATACATCAGAAAAGTATTTGGATTGAAATATGGGTTGTAGCGGTTATAATTTAATCACTTCCTTTTTTTGTATCCATAATAAAGTTATAGATCATTACAATTCTATGCGTACTACAATTACTGCATCAGTGCTGAAAGCCAAGACTTAAGTTTGAAGGTAAAAAAAAAAACCTTTTGGCTATAATGTTAAACCGGGAGATCTGGAAGTGTCAACATACTTCGCTAAACCTTCTTTCTAATTTCTTTTTCAAGTTTATCACGAATAATGCTTTAATAGCAGGAGCATTATTACGTTCATTTTTAAATTGGAAATATCTGAAATGTAGGTTTTTCTCTTTTGCACTACTACATCCTGAATCATCTGTGTAGCCTAGCAAATACTTGCTCTGAAAGCTGTAGCAGCATATCCTTATTTTGTCTATCAAATTTAACAACGTATTGTATATCCATGTAACAAACTAAGCAATTTTAAAATAATATTTCAGTTTTTAATAATTTCTGTTGTTTACGATATTTTATTTTTAATAGTGTATTTATTTTGTACAATTCATAGCACCTGCTTGATATTTTTTTTAATTACACATAAATGCAGTTAATGAAAGATGATTCTAGTGCCTTTTATTACATATTCGTCTGCCAAGTTATCACTCGGGTGCTATCCAGCAAGCATTTTTTAATTTTTGCCTATTTTTTGTAATATGCATATTCTTACCGCTTTTTACATTTGTCTCTAGTTAACGCCTTATGTTCCTTTAAAACAGTGGTCTTCAAACTGTGTTTAACGGAACTCCGGGGTTCCGTGAGTCAAACCCTAGGATTCCGTAAATCAAAATAAAAATTCAAAAAGAAAACTAAAGTGTTCTGAATAGTTCACTAGTGTTTATTAACTAAAAAATATAAATATGAATTTAGTTTCAAGTCTTAAAACGGGGATGTTTTGCAAAACTAAACAGTTTTTTGATAGAAAACGAAATAAATTTAGATACCAGTGTTAAAAATTATACATTGAAGCCTTTTTTTCAACTGAAGAAAAGTATAACGGGATATTTGATAAAAGAAAAAAAAATTAGCCTTGCTTTATAAAAACTCCATTTGAGTACTACGATAAATCAGAATGCCTTCCAATGAATGAAAGGGAACAACTTATGGACATATCAACAGACACAATGTTAGATCTAAACTTAAGCAAGAGCACCTCCTAAATTTTTGGTTGTAGATTCATGCAGAATACCTAGAGATTTCTCACACGCCTGTTAACATTTTAATGCCGTTTGGGACAACGTATATAAATAAAAAATCTTTCTCGACGTATGTGGCAAAAAAAAAATATAGAAAAGAATTAAACACAGAATATGAAATGCTACTGCATAGCATTAATAGAGCTAGACTTCGACAGTTTAATGTAAAAAAACAAGCACACCACTGTCACTAAAATAATACAAACGTAGGTTTTACCTGGAGCAGATGGTAATGATATGAATGAATAAATTACATTAATTTTACTTTAAAAGGCTTAAAACAACATACTAAGAACGTATATTGGTATAATTATTTTTCATTTGATCATTTGTACAGTTTTTTAAGGAAAAGAATTAATGAGTTCTTATATTAAATACATTTAATTATATTTCTATAAAGTGGGACTCGGAGATGTTTCAAAGATTCTTTCTGAACCATTAGATATAAATAAAAACCAGTTTTGCATTACATAATAAAAGAATAATGTACACTGAAAAGGGCAGAGTTCTTAATAATTTCCCAAAGACATGATTTTCTAAGTTTTCATTGCATTTTTATTTTCCTATAGGTGGTCTCTGCAGCAGCTTGCTCCGACCAAACAAGCTGTGCAGCTGGGCAATGTTGTGCAGGAATTCCATTTTTTGGTGGTTTATGTCGAGCATTCACACCATTAGGTTAGTAACTGCTTATTCTACTAAATCTAAAATTCTGAGCGATTGCACTAATATACTCGTGTTATCTGATATTCTAAAAAAATTTTAATTCTCTTTTACGTTTCATAAAATCTCTAAGCATACTGTATACAACGTAGGGTGTAGGTATAGATCGCAGTGTCAAAAATAAAATGTAATTCGAATATATTTTTAATGTGTTATCTATTTGGTAATTAGTTTGATACCACCATGCCGCATAGTTGTACACTATCAGACCGTCATCATCCCTGCGTCCCTGCGTAATAGGCACTATTTGCCGGAGCCTGAGAAACTTTTTAAAGAAATTATCATATTTGTAGCATATTTCATAATCCATAAATTCCGTAACCAAAGTACTTTCAATGGCAAGAATTTCCACTAAACTTTTCAAAATTTCAAAACTTTCTACTCATTAATACGATTTTATGCTCAAATATTTGGCACGTAAAAGCGTCAGTCGCAATTTTCTCCTCAAGATAAATTAAGCTCTAATATTATCTGATATATTTTTAGTATTAATATGTTAATGCGTTTTGTTACTAAGGAGTTTTCTTCCTCCTTACGCTTTACTTTCATAGTGTAATTATAAGCACGTCCTGCTAGCACTAGGAGGTTTGACGTTCGTATACCGGGGAAGGTATAACTAAAATATGGGGGACAATAAGATTCCTCAAAACCTAGATTTGCAGACTGTCTCCCCTCCTCTCTAGTCGTCCTTAGAGGGGAGGGAAATGTAGAGAATATTTTCCTTACTTACAGCGTGGTGTAAGTAAGCCCATCTACCTATCATTGGGAGACCCGTAGTTTAAATCCCGGTGAAGGCATTGCTGGTTTTTCATGCCTCCAACTTTGAAATAAGCCTAATGAGTCTACATGTGTATTAACTTGTGTATTATTGAAAATTATTATGTGTTAAAGTTTATTAAATATTTTCTCTCAGTTAAAAATATAAAGTTTTTAATTTAGATACGAACTAGTCACGTACAAGATATGAACATTTAAAAGCAACAATTTTCAAACTAAATGAAATCAAAAGGATTGTTTCAAAAGTTTCAAAATTATTTGTTTCAGATTATATTCGAATTGTTTCAAACTGTAAATGTAATTTTCGAAATCAATTTCATTGCTGCATTTTTCAGGCTAAGAATTGTTTCTAAAGATTTTTATGTTTTACTTTCTAAGGCCAAAAATGCAAAGTAAATGATGTCATACTCCCAATGTTTGGTGACTTCTACATTGGTTCCTGTCCTTGCGCTGAGGGCTTAGTGTGTGTGCAATCAGGGAAGAAGAAGGTGTGTATTTATTTTGTAACAATCTCCCTAACAGTTGATGTTATCGGTTCCTTTATGGTGAATATATAGATAGTTAAAAAGGCTCGAACGAATCTTTTAAATCGGTTACAAAATTAATTAAACACTTTTATTATTATCCTGAACAAAGCCGAATGAAAAACTTGTAAGTTATACTTATGAGTGTTTTATGCTTCAGGCTTTGAAATATGAATTTTTCTATAATTAGTGACTGTAGAAATCGATGTCTTCTCTAATAAGTATTAAAATTTAAATAAAATTGTATTTTCAAAAGCAATGAAAAATAAAAACCCTAAAAGCATAATCTTAAACCAGAAAATGTATTTATTCTTTTCTTTCAGCATTTAATATGTAACTAATTATAAATATAATAATTATTTTTAAGCAATTTTATGTATGAAATTTCAAAAAAATATTCAATAATAAAGTAACAACTGAATATCCTAGTAAAATGAACTTTTCAAGTCTGAAACGCAGCATGTATTTTATAATCTTTGAAACAGATATGCCCACTGCCTATTTCCTATGAATATTAACAGCATTTTTCTGTAAAATCTGTGCCAATTTAAGGTTTTTTTTTTTTTTTTTTTTTTTTTTTTTTTTTTTTTTTTCTTAATTTTAATCGTTTCTTATCCGATGCTTATTTTTTGCTTATGCAAAAATAATTTTACGCATTCAGAATGTTATCGCATGCTACTTTAGATGTTTATCACAAATAATAATAAAATACTAAAAATGTTAAGCGTGAATTATTAATTTAATCTGCGTTAAACTTCTTTAGCTAGAGATATTTCATGTAATTCTTTATAAAAATAGACAAAGTTATGCGTTAGAAATCAAGGGAACAAATCAAACGGAAATGCTTTAAATCAAAGATTCTTAAATTTGGGCTCGTAACATAGTACTAATTAACGTAAAGAAATCATTGGAGTTCTCAAAACTTTACATAATGGTTGATTACGTAACTGTGGCTAGTACCAGTAATACTGTGTGCTTCTTTTGACACTTTTATTGAAATATTGTGTGTTTCTTTTGACATTTGCATAACTTATTGAAGATTATTTCAGGATTTTTTATCATTTTTGCAATATAGTTTTTGGTTTTGTAGGTAAATTTTTTTTTAAATATTTCTTCGATTTTAACAAGCCCCTAAATCTTATGCATAACGATTTGCAATTTTAAGGAAATTAAATTTTTATTCTATAGTAAGAGGGTAACAAATTCAGTTTTTATTCAATTTTACATGATCCTTCTGAATCATGAAAAACTTCTTCTTTTTCAAAGGGATCACGAATACAAAATGCTCGAGAAACATTACCTTTAAACTATACTTCATAATAATCTATTATAATAAAAGTGATTGCTTTTCGCTGTTTTGATAAATTAAGGCAAATTAAATATACACATTTTTTACAGCGTTCGTAGTTATGGTTGCTCGTAAAATTTGGAATAATGGATTTCGCATCCTCTCCGCACCTAAAACTACTTCACACTTCTTGGTGCTACACCTGTAAAAGATTTTTGTAGTACCTGAATACAAATAAATAGTTTTAAAAGTTGTTTCATAGATTAATAATGAGAATCATCACGATGGATAATAATGAAATATCAATTTCCTTTATACAGAATAGCGGTACTTGCCAGTTGCCTCCAACTACTCCTGCTCCTACTCCTGCCCCTGCCGAAGATTCCGGCTCAGCTGAAGGGGGATCTGACAATTCTGCCTCAAGCGGAAGTTCCGAAAGTGGTACTGGCTCTGCAGAAAAACCTACAGAAGTATCAGATGGATCTTCTTCAGCTGACAAACCTGGGTCAGATGCTTCGAATCCAGCAGGCAGTTCTGAGGGTTCTTCGTCATCAGCTGAAAAGCCCGGCTCAGCTTCAGGAGAAGGCTCAGACGCTTCTGGTGCTGCTTCTCAGTCGGCCGAAAAACCTGCAGATTCAGGAGCTTCTTCAGCTGAAAAGCAAGAAGGCTCAGATGCTTCATCCCCAGTAGAAAAGCCAGCAGGTTCAGGTAGTCCCTCGGGGGAACAGTCTCAAGGGTCTTCTTCAGCCGAACAGCCTCAAAGCGCTGCCTCAGATGAACAATCTCAAGGCTCAGCTTCACCCGAACAAGCTCAAGGCTCTTCCTCTGTTGAGCAATCCCAAAGTTCTTCCTCAGTTGACCAGTCTCAAGCTTCAGGCGTGCAACCTCAGGTTCCAGAAACTTCAGCAGAAGATTCTGGTTCCGCAGCTGCGGAATAGAATGCAGAGGTTTTTAATTACGAAGAATACTTAAATAAAGCTTAAATTAAAAGCGCCTTGTATCTAGACTAAACAATTGCTTGACCTGATCTTGTTCATTATACTAAATTTTCCATGGGGACTTCTTTCATTCAGAGCTTAAAGTGTGTTTCGGTAAACGGATTTCACAAACTAAAGATTTTATGCTCGAGGTTCCTAAAGGGCATTTCGTAATGCAAATAAATGCATATTAATTATACATATAAGTACACACACAAACACATATATGTATACTGTAAAGATGTTTTTAAACCACTTGTAAGTGAATAAATAAAGCATTATTTGTTTGCATTAGTTTTTGTTGTTTCCTTCTAAGAAAAAACCTTGTTAACCGTGTACGATTCTAAACAATGATGCCCATTGACGAGGCTTTCAAAGGAAATGCCATGCTCTCAGAAAGCGTTCGCTTAACCAAAAACTTAATTATGTTAAATAAAAATTATGATTTTTCACTATTTTGAAAAATCAAAATCGTTCAGCAATTTTATCAAAATAATTAAATTTTGTACTTGAAAAAATGTAATTCTACTGTCTATTACCGAATTTTTTTTACAAATGTTAAATTGCTCAGCTTAATCGCTTCGCACTAATTTTGCAATATTACCTGTCAATAATTAGTCTCACGGAGCTCTGATTCTAAGAACTATTTTAAGTAATATCTTCCGAAGATTTACGTAGACGTTAAACTGTATTTGACATAATCTATGCTATGCTATCTATCTCTGCTAATAATTCTTAGCACAATTCATCTGATTATCTTTTCTTTCTGCGAGCTAGTTTTTACTTCCTCCTTCTGTGTTAAAAGTAAGTTTTTCAATTATGCTAACATCTAGTTCTATCCTCATTTCGATTACAAATACAATTGGATAAATGAACAAGAATTACGTACGATATTTCCATAAATGTGAGTTGCACCACGAAAGATCTTTTTGAATATTCATTAACTCTCCAACCCTTATTTATCTGGGACGGTTTCAACCCCCCTCCTAGTGAAAGTTTTATTATATCAAGTGAGACACATATTCTTTCATGATTTTTTCCCAAAACTTCGAATTTGATAAAAGTGTGAAAGAGCTAGAAAAAACATTGTATCATAATTTATTTTCATGTTATTGTTCTTCTATTATTCCTGAATATGTGCGTAAAATTTCAAATTAATCCATTCGGGAGTTGCCGAGATGTGGAGCGATAAATATTTTAGAACAAGGATTCCAAACTTTTCCTGCCATTCGGCTGTTTAAAAGAATGATTTCCTTCATCAACCCATTCCATTTTTTTTTCAATAATATACACAATATAAACATAATACAAATAATTGCGCTTTAATAACTTAAGATAACAATTAGACTAAGAATATGAAAAAAATATCATTAGATTTATCTTTTTATTATTTTTCTATTATTATCATTTTTAGTTTTATGAATATAAAAAAGTTTCCTTAAACAAAATCATAGATTTTAATCGGTCAGAAGTTCAATTTTAATAAAAGGGACAGCTGACCTTGATTATAACCAATGTTTTAAATATTTGGAATAAAATTGTTACCTTAATTCTTAAATCGCCTCGTTTAAATCTTCTTGCTTTCCATAGTAAATTATTGACTTAACTATTGTTTCTACTGATGATTATGATTGAGAAAAAATCAATAATATTAGTTCGGTAACAAATTTTATTTTGGTATATTTCTCTCGGATGACTTTCAAATTCCAAAGTTTAGCGTACCCACATGTTTTGAATGAACCACATGAACTTGAGCATCTTCCTTCAATACGGTCATGTTTTCTTGCATCATGATATAAAATCAAATATACAGTTTAGTGGTTCTGTGAACTGCGATGGCATATTTAAGTTTTCAATGTAACCTGACATTAAAATCTTCTAAATTTTGTGAATCACTTGTATATAACAATACATTTTCTGTGGAAGTAAAATCATTTTCGATAAAACACATTATGTTATCAAAGCAGTGGAATTCCCTTTGATTCATTGTCGATACAAGCAAATTAATTTTAGACCCAAAACTGAAGATAATCGTTTTAACTTTAATGAAACTGATGTCTGTCCTTTCAGTTTTTTTTTTTTTTTTTTTTTTTTTTTTTTTTTTTTTTTCATCTTTGAAAAACGGATATATATCAGCCAAGTAGAATATAAGTTTTCAGAGTTTTATTCATTGTGTCACTGTAGGTTTGTCAAATTCAAGGAAAAGTTATATCATGGTATTAAAAATATTTTCGATTGATCCCTTGACCATTGCTAACCCCTATAAAATTTTATCGACTTCAAGGTTATACCGACCCTGTTTAAACTATTTCCACCATGGGGAGCAATTCGACTTTTATCTTAGGCAATTTTACTTAGGCAATCTTTAGTGACGCCACAAAATTTCTTTCTCTATATTTATGAGCTTCTCACTCACGGTATATCTGAGCCAGTTCGAAATCTACAGTAAAATGTTTAACCCTTTAAAGCCAAACACACTCTTTCTTGATCGTCGCTAAAATAGAAAATCCCATCATAGACTAAAAAAATTAAAGATAATATGCGGACTTTAGTTCATTTCACTGTTACATCTAAGAACGGGTGTCAAACTTCGTACGAATCTATTATTGGACAAGATATGATGATTGCGAAGACAGGAGCTATTCATTAGGACTTAATTAATCGCTCCTGTCTTCGTAAACACAGGGGTCGCCGAATGAGAGGGAAAAATAAATTGACTTTTTATGTTCATCACTTTATTTTTAAAAATCGAAAAATAAACTATTACATTTCTATTTTCTCTTTTCAAGCCAAGAAATTATTTACCTAATCAGAATAAAATTTATTTCAAATAAATGAAGGATGGTAGCTGCGAATACATCAAAGACTATTCAGATTATGTCAAACTTGCTGTCAGATGGCACTACGATAGTGACCGACTTAGATAAAAGGCTTCTGGGCAAAATGCAAGATCTTCCTCTTTACGAGTTTCGTTTGGTTTATTTTGATTATGGCAAAGCACTCGAGGGTTATCTGCCTAAGGGAAGGATGTCTTCGTGAAGGTATTTCTAAGGGAAACTTTTTATAACGTTACTCAAGGGAAAAACCACAAAATCGTCTATGCAGCCGGCCCGTCCGCCGAGATTCGAACCTCTAACCCAACTACCAATATTCAGCTACTTTACGGCTGGACCGATTCTTTTCATGGGACTAATAAGAGACCTGGAACATAGCAACAAAGGCGATTACCTATTAATCACAGTAAGAATAGTGCGTAGTGTTGTAAGAATTGCTCCAGTGTCCATATGGTGTGGTAAAATACCTAAGTCTGAACATCCAAACAGAGTTTTTCAACTTCTTAGAATCTGAAGTTAGAAATAACATCACTTCGGACTAATGATCTTATACCCTAACATGGCTCTAAATTTGATCAATTTAGTAGTTTGCAGATATGTGAATATAGTGAACGAAGAACCGGGAAAAACCTACTGAATTTAGAATTTGTGGAATTTTTTCTCTTGTAGAAATATAAAATATTAATAATCAAAGCAGATTGAAGAAGAAATCGTTGCTCGAGAAAGGTTTGGGTTTAATAAAATGTCTTAGGCAAGGATATGAGGCAGCAATAAAGAATTTGCAAAGAACGGTATGCAGCAGCGCATAATAAGGTACGGAATTTACTAAAGCAGATTTCACCCGACAAGCGTCTGATGAGGATGAACCACAGCAGTTGAGAATGTTTCAAAAGATCCAACGGACGATTCAGCAATAGCCAACCCGGCCAATGAAGTCCCAGGAAAATTAACGGAGACTTTTAACTGCAAATTCAAGAGCAAAAAAACGACTGGCATCTCCGGATTTTCACCAACGGGACAGGAAGTCGACGGGCATAAGGAAAAACGTCCAGTGGACATGGAAATACAGCAGACGCCGAAAAGTATGAGTACAGTACACAAACGTATGAGTGCACCACACAAAAGTATGAGTGCAACACACGTACGCACCTGTCCTGGAATGAATTCGTGGACAAGCGAAAGATAGGATTACTATAGAAGCAAAGGGTAAGTAAAATTTATTTTCTTTAAGTATTCAGTTTTAGTTTAAATTTAAGTACAACAGCTGCTGGTTATTTTGAGTTTTGCTTCAGGCGAGGACATCTCATATTTGTAGGTATCAAGAAGCTTTGTAATTTAATTATACATTTATCTGAATGATTTTAAGTTCTTAGTGCAAACATTTTACTGTGACTTTAGTCCAAAAAACTGTTTTGAGAATATAAGTGTTTATAGAATATAAGCAACTTCTGTACCTTTTGATTAATGTGAAAACTGAGTAAATTTCTGAACGTAAATAATTGTAAATGTTTCATGAACTATGCTTGCTAACGGTTATGTAAACGTAAAAGTGGTCTGTTAAATATTTTGTAAAAGTTTACAATTGATGATGTGTGACTGAGGTATTTAAGTACGGGCTAGCTACTCATAATAAGTTGGATTGGATTGGATTGGATTATTTAATTATGGCAAAGCACACGAGGACTATCTGCCTAAAGGAAGGGATGCCTTCGTGGAGGACTTTGTAAGGGAAACTGGCTCGTATACACGTTACATATGGGGAAAACACCGAAAACGTCCATGCAGCCAGCCCGTTCGCGGGATTTGAACTTCGGATCGAACTACCAGTGTTCTTTACCGCTCGGCCGCTGGTGGGCCTCACAATAAGTTGAGTTCAAATCTAGCATTGTGAATGTACTTTGTTAAAAGTGAGGCTGTCCAACCAAAACTTATAATGTTAAGTAAACTTTAAGCTTAGCACATTAGGTACAATCTTGAAATTAAGTGTTCGCTGAGATCTAATGTGTCTAAGCTAATTATTTGTAGGATTTCGGTCAAGTGGCAGGGCTGAAATATCTCTTGCAAGTATACATGCTCTTGCATGCATTACATTGCTGGAGAACAGGGGTGAGAAATAAATTGAAGAAAAACTGTAAAGTATATGAAGGATTTTGATGAAGTTGAAAAAGCAAGTGATATTATGAAATATTTAAAATATGTTGCTAAGAAATGTTTCCTTCCAGATGTCTGGAAGGAGAGGAGATACTACAGTGTTAAAATAGGATGCTCTCAGTTTTTTTTTCCAGTGATGTGTATTGGCTGAAAAATTTTTAATTTTGATTTAGTTTTGTAAATTTTGTGCTTGTAAAATTTAACATAATTAGGTTTAGAATTAAAAAGCCTTAGCAAGGTCGTTAAAGATCTTCTTTGCGTTTACGTAAATTCAGATGGGGAAAGATTTTGAGTTACTATTATTATGGA